GTTGATGGAAGGTTGCTGGTACTGTACGTCATTAGTATACTATGGGTATACCATATACTGTATGGGTAGGCTGTTAGTAGGTTGATGGAAGGTTGCTGGTACTGTACGTCATCAGTATACTATGGGTATACCATATACGGGTAGGCTGTCAGGAGGTTGCTAAAAGGCTGTTTTCTGGTGGGATATGGGTTACTAGGTTGTTTGTAAGTTGCTTATATCCTACCAACCCCTATTGTGGCTCATATTTTTTGCTATCACCATCCATTATGTTCATAAAAGATTCATACACTATAAAAGTTAATCTCAGTGTTAGGTTAACAAGAATGAAATACAAGAGAATTATTTGAGTTCTTTTTTTCCTTTACCTCTTAAAGATAAATTTAAGTTGAGTTGTATCAAAATGCATCTAATCTTACTTGTAGTTGGTTTGTGGTTATAAAATAGACATCAATGGTGTTATGTTTCAGCTATTACAGAGCCTGTGTCATTCCCTTGAGTATCATTTCTTTGTTTAATGGTTGTGCAGGGGAAGACACATAAATATGGATACAACTCAAACAATGAATGTGGTTCTCAAGGGAATGACAGGTGGTCTGAAATGGGTAAACATTGCACCAAGACAAACTAGGTCTATTGTTAAAATGAAAATGTAGATTGTAAATTTGCAAATTTAGATAATTTTAAATAAGATGTAGCCTTGGGAAGCAAGCAAACCATAGTTTCCTTCAGAGTATGGGATGGGTCCCCTGAATCAAATAGTAAACAGGAGGTGCAGAATTTTGTTTTTATCAGTCAAGGATAATGCCATGCGAAACCTCATGGAATGAAGATAAAAGAATCAATATGATCATTCATAGCCTCAAATAAGTATAGCTTCTTACTGTTAGGGGTATTCAATATCTGTTTCAGAGGCAAATCCAAGTGGAGGGTCATGGGGGTTGCAAGCCTTCRTTTTTTGTTTGTGGTCTTTGGCAGGTGGATGACCTTCAAATGCAGAACCCCCTTTAAGAAAATACTAGTTCTTCCCCAGGTCTAAGTTTAAATGTCAAATAGTCAGTATATCATTCAGAGATTTTGTTTAAATGATAGGGCTTTTCAATGTGTATGTGTGATGCAAAGTGCCCAAAGTATATGTGTGCATTCAGTATTTGTAATTTTTATTTGAAACCATGAAAAATGGAACATGCTTTCTAAGAGGCTTATCATTATTTCTGAGGAAAGTGCTGGTAGTAATGGGAAGGTGGGGTACAATTGTTTTTAAATGTAGAAAAAAAATTGCAAAAAAAAGAAAATATGATGTATACTGTACAAGAAGAAAAAAGCGAAAGTAGGCTAAAAATAAAGTTGTCCTTGACTTTTGCCAGCTTGTGCCCTTAAATAACAATCTGTCCCATACTGGAGGAAAGATTAAGACTATTTTTAGTTCAATAGTAAAGAATATATTAAATTAGGTGCATTATATAACTATTCAAATTTCAACAAATTGCTATTCTAAAGTCTGTCTGTCTTTAGAACACACAAGCTTCCATTCTAAATGTAAATTTGTAATGATATCTTGTTGCTCTTATTTTTGGTACTGCACTGATAATGATATTTTTGTTAATTTCCATTTATTGCATTATTTTCTAGAATTAGCAATGAATACTCTGTGAGTAGAGAAGTGATGATTTGCACATGAGTAGTGCTAATATTATTATGTCACAACCTTTTCTCAAATTTAGTATAAGCAAAGAGGTTGAACGGGGTCCAAGTATGGAATATACATGAGAATTTATAATACAGGGTTTGGGGGACGGGATCTTTAAGAATGTTTTCTCGATATACTTATCAATCCTAAATATTTTTCAGTTCTTGTTATTTCAGTATTTACAAAATATGTGTAACTTGCACAAGTTGCCACACACTTTCTTGTAGTATTGAATTATGAAGAGGAATGGTTGGGAAGTGTAATATTATGCTAGACAAAAATAAAGTAACTAACTAAAATGTTGTAAAGTTAGTGTTTTTATTTGTAGTACATGAGCTAGCAACAATAACACCCTTAATACTCCCTTTTTACAGTTCTGTTCAGTGACCACGCCTAATAGATCCAAGTCGAGGATGGAGTTTCTGCACATAATGACAAAGCAAATCTATAGTTTATCATACCTCAGCTTGGAACTATTAATCATGGTAACTAAATGGAACTGTAAAATGTTTCTGAAATTGTTTTAGCTGAGACTTCAAAATGTAAAATGGAGTATTGCAAAATCATTGTCAAGTCTAAAATCATAGAACCTCGAAGCTGGGATTGAAAGGGTGCATGAGAAATGTTAATTAGATGTACCTAGTAATACAACTTGTGGAATGCTCATTGAGACATGTTTCTTATTTTCTCAAATATCTCAGATAAATACATCAGAGGATAATTGTGACATTTCCCAGAATATCTTTTGGTCTTTGCAGCTTCTATGTTCAATGTTTTGAAGACAACAATAATTTTGCAATACTCTCTTTACAATTCTGTTCAATGACCATGAATAATAGTTCCAAGTGGAGGTTGGAGTTGCCACTCATAGCAAAACTTTATTTTTATCATGCTTGGTTACTCCAACCTCGACTTGGAACTATTAATGTTGTGGTCACTAAACTGGACTGTAAAAGGGAGTATTGAGTGCATGTCTACTAATGTACTGTCTTCTCATGCTGTGTTTCAAATGCTAATGGCTCAAATTGGGTTCAAAAGTTTAAGGGACAGTTACCCTCTTGCTAGGGTTTTAGTTTATGAAAATATTATTGTAACTGTTCCCACTAAATGTTGCATGAAGATCAGAACTTGTATGAATTTAATCACAGGTAGCCCAAGCTGGCTATTAGTGTTGTTGTATCGTCAAAATACAGTAAAAAATAAAATTTTAAAAAATTCATACAAATATAAAAGGTCTTACCTACGCAAGGTAAGACTTTTATTTGTATGAATTTTTGAAATTTATCTTTTACTGTATTTTGACGATAAATCAAYACTAATAGCCAGCTTGGGCTACCTGTGTTTTAATCTGGTTTTCATTTGTAGTTCATGAAACAGGGAGAAAGTAGCCCTAGTTTTCATTTATGCATCAAGTGCGCTGCTCTTATGAACGTTTCCGCGCTGTAAAAATCCTTGGGTAGTGCAGGGGGGTGCATTATCCAAGATGTCCTTTCTGTTTAATAATGCGTGACGGCATCTTATATTTCTGTTGCGTGACTAGTTCTACGTGACATGTCGCTGAGGTTTCTGCCGAAGCCTGCGGCTTGTACGAAAAGCTCCACAGTATTCCTCTGTTTGYAGGACAAAGAAAGAAAGAAAGAAATTCAAAGACTAGTAGGTAAAGTATCCAATTGCCTTTGTAAGTTGCATATAATATATTTTTAAACTTTTGAGTTATACTACATTACAATCTGCCTAGAACCTGCCTAGTCGACTGATTCTTCATCCCCCAAATATTCGCTACAATTGATTGAAACTGTCGTATTGAATTGGATTCAGATGTCTAACTTCACTGGCACACAATTCTGACTTTAGATTCGATAAGTGAACGTATGAACTAGGTCTCATACTTGTATTATAGTTCAGTTGCGAAACTCCTCTTCCATTGACTGACCATGGCCTTCTTTCGACAAATTTATAAAAAAGTTTTATTCAGCAGAAGTCTTCATGAAGTCTCATGCATGAGTTCCCAAATTGATTTATTAAATCTAAATTACTATCACCTGAGTGTCAGCTAAATGTTTTCGCAAATGTTGTCTTCCTATTTCTATTGTAACGAACCCCCAGTCAGTGAATCATGATCATGCATCAAGTATGTCACATCAGTCATTGAAATGCTTGGTCTCTTGTTCTAACTGAATACAACTCGTATGATAATGATGATAACAATGATGATGATGATACTGTTGAGTGCCTCAAGATTCACGGGTCGTGCTTTGTTCCAAAAAGCAAAAAAATCCTACAGAATTAGTTACTGATTATGGAGAGCCTTAAAAATAGAATAATCTTGCTTTGCAATTAAAACAAAGGGGTCAAAGTCATATTGGTCACAAGACTCCGGGTAGAGCAAGTTATGAAATTCAGTATATAATGTATTAGCCACTACGAGGTTGAGGAAAAAACTGGGTCGAGTTGGGATTGCAATGCATTGTGGGGCTGTTCAGGGGACGAAATAGACGCCATCTTGGAATTTTTTAAAGGAAAGTCCCACAATGCACTGCAATGGAAACTCGACCCGGTTTTCCCCTCAACCTCGGAATCGCTAATTGGTGCATGACTGTTTGCAGATTCGTACTATAATGCCGGGCAAAGAAGCAGATGCACCCGATGCACCCAGTAAACCATATGTTATTGAGTGGCCAAAATATGAACCACTAGAAGAATGGTTACGTACGCAGCCCACTGATAAATGGAAGGAAAACTTTGACAACGATGGATTCTTGGTAAGCATTTGATAACAGCATGCTGTCGAAATTGATTATCATGTCACGACTCGTCACGATTGGGGGTTCAAATGTTATGTTTCCTGCAATTTCATTGGCTCTTCAAAAGAGTGCGATTTAATACTCAAAATGGTGCGATTTGTAATTAAGAGGCAATGTCTGTAAAAATCAAACATAATCGAAAATCCGTGGCCAAGTTGAAAAAATCGATTTTTTTCATATTTGGTCCAAAGATGTAGAATACCATCCCAATAAACGTACTGATGTTCATTTTGAATAATTTCACTTYTATTTTGAGAAAATCGTGAAAATCGATTTTGGCCGTCGGTGCGCTCATTTCAGCCTAAATCCGAGGTGAAAATGGTAGGTCTGAGAAAGGCGCTCGCGTTTAATAATGAAGCAAACTAGAGAAGATCTGTTTTTGAAATAAAGTAAAGGAAAGATTAATGATTATTTTAAGCTAAAAAATGAATGGGGAAACGCGTTCTAATAAGCGAACAGGAACGTTTTGTAAACTACATTTTTCGGGTTCTCAAATATTTAAATGTCACCCTTAGTTTGCAAAGCGCATTTTCATGTGCACCGGGTGTTCGGATTTATCTGAAATTCCAGCCATAATACCTTCGAATGTTCAGCAAAATCATATGTAAAATTCAGCTTGGGTTATTCAATGAGCGCTTTATACGAAACTCTCGAATTCAGAGAAATTTGCGTTGTTTGAGCTCGGCATCCGAGAAAACTATAGAAAAAAAAACTATAGAAGCCGAAATTCAGTACTAGGTATGAACAATAATCAAGCAATTTATCTTTTAGGTAGGATCTCCCGGTGTTTTTTA